AGAAATGGAGGCTGTGTCTAAAGCACCAAGGAGAGAGCGCCTGGAAGTTTTATAAATAGTTGCACCTTTTAAAGGAAATTGGAAGTTGTCAGACACATGCCATCTGCATTTTTGTGAGAATATCTCCAGTCTCTCTCTCCCTCTGAACATGACTGAAACATCATCATATACAAAGTGGCAGAGCTGAAAGCTTATCTGGAAACGATTGGATCTCCTGCTACAGTGAGAGGAGTCTATTCACAGCCCAGTAACACAGTGTCAAGGTGCCAGGACTAATGAATAGAGTTTCCATGACATCTATTAACCTTGCTTATACTTATGCTGTATGTGTGTGTGTGTGTGTGTGTGTGTGTGTGTGTGTGTGTGTGTGTGTAGCATTTCTATGTCAGTAGTCAGGTGAATATATTATTTAGTGCATTCAATAAACCAATAAACTGTTCTCACACACAACAATTCAGCAGTCTGAACATATGACACAGATTCACAGCAAAGGTGTAACTTAACACAGTTCACTTTGTAGGGGACTCCATGAACTTCAAAATCATACATTCTAGAAGAAGTGTTTCCTGAACATGTAACAAAGTTTGTAAGCCTTCTTCTGATACACCTGTAATTATCAATTTGGTTTTAGTCTGCAAAAATAATCATCAGAAAAGTCAGACTTGAACATTATTGAGGACAGAGTCCAAATTCCAAAGGTCCAGGGTGTTTTCAATGAATCTCAAAACCAACAAGACTCGTATTGTATACAATTATGGAATTCTTATTATCTATGGCCACAGTGAGCATCATATATATAATATAATTATGAAAGTTCTTTGTGCTAGCTCTCATGAAATAAAAAAAAGCCATACAGGATAGCTGTTTTTGTTTATTGAAGCAATGACTCACAAAATTCTCCATGGAAAATTTGGATGAAAAATTGTTATTAATCAGGTTGAAACCTTTTATGTGCAAGATGCATATAAAAAAGTAAAAGGAGTTTTGGTGTTAATTCAAAAATGTTCTTGCATGAGGCCTAGTGAAACTACAAGTAACTGAAATATTTTTGATTGTCAATCCATTGGATCCCTCCTCCACAAGGAGTCCTGGAACCCCTGATGGACCCCTGGGAGTTCCTATTTCATTATATGTTGATCAAATTGCATTTTCAGATTTATTTTAGTGAGAGCTGTAAATGACAGTTCTTTAAATATAATTTGTTCTGCATGCCTCACAAGTAATTGGTTACCAGTGAACATTTTATTGCATTAAGACATCATCAGGCACTGCCAGTGGGGTAATAGTACAATTCACTGTCTACAGACAAATGTAAAGGCAGTCTCATGAAAGATAAATGCAGAACATGGACCCACATGATTTACACCATATGAATGGATAAATATTCCAATTTAAATGCAAAATCTTGAGGTGAGGGGAGGTTGTAGATCAACACAGACATTTTGGTACATTTTATCACAGCATTCATAAATAACATCTAATGCAATTACTCCTCTTCAAATAAGGTTTTAAACCTGTCTTGTCATGGTGTGTCCTTATAGTAATGTTTTTATTTCCTAAACCCTGTGTTTTTCTTGCTCTCAATGTAATTGCTTCTGTCCTTTGGTTCATCACGCTGACTGATATCTGTTGTAGGACACTTCTTCAAGATCTCAGCTCTCTGCAGCAAGCCTGCACAGCCTTCTCTACTGGTCCTCAGCCATCACTGGTCACTGTAAATCACACTTCACTAAAGCCAACACCGTTGACTTTTATCATCTGACGCATTTCATTCTCCTCCTTGGACTAATGTTTGAGCTGAATTTTGATCATGTGTACAATATGTTTGTGCACCTCATTCATCCCCTTTAAATGACTCAAGCACTTTTCTATACCAATGTATGAAATGGTGGAGTCCATATGTAATCCAGGATATATATTTTAATTGAATATAGAGAAATTCATATCCCTGTATTCCTGATGAAAACATTATCACTTTTTTTCATTACTGTGTGCACAGATACATCTTGAACTCCTGGACCACTCCACAAACATGGTATTTATTGGCAAATTTATTTAAAACAGAATTAAGATTTTTTTTCTATCTTTTTTTTTTGCAAATTTATTTAAAAGAAAAAAGTGAAATATCGCATTGACATAAATATTCAGACTTTGCACATCTGGATTCGGGGATTTCCTCTGTTCTTCTCTGCTGAGGTTCCCGGGCTCTGTCAGGTTCTCCAAAATAGTTTGATAGGGTTCACATCAGGACTCCGGCTGGGCCACTCAAAGATATTTACAGAGTTGTCCCTAAGCCACTCCTGTTTTATCTTAGCTGTGAGCCACAGGTGGACTCCAATCAACGTGTAGAAACATCTCAGAGATCATCCAGAGAAATGGAGGAACCTTAGCTACATTTACAGAGTCATAGTAAAATGTCTGAAAACTTATGTCAATGTGATATTTCAGTTTTTACTTTTCAAAACATTGTAAAGGTGTGTTCTGCATTGCTCCATTTGTGTGAATTTGACCTAAACATCCAATGTACCAACTGTATTGATGGTACCTCTATTCATGAACATTTGGTATTATTTGTGAGATCTCTGGACTGAATGTTCACTCAGTGTTGTTTAGGAGACTGTTTGTTACTCCGGGGTTGTGCTTCAGTGATTTCCAGGGGAAGGAAAAAAGAAAAACATACACTAGACAGACTTTTATTTGAGTTTTTATACTGTATGACTGAGCCTGATAAAATGGTTGGAGTGAAAAAATTGCTCAACATGCTCACCCAGCATGATCCTTGTTCACAAATTGCATCCTCAGGAGGCCTAGTCATTGCCAAAAACACATTGTGTAGATTTCAGTGTCTCATCTCACCTAATGTTTAGAAGGTAGCTTTTACTTTACTTCTCTATACCTATTTGCACTACTTGCAAATTGTATAAACTTTGATCTGCTTGGCAAAAAGATGCTATCCAGTGAATGTAATTCTGTTAAATCTACACCTGGACTAACTAACATTATCACATTAATTCCAGTTTCAGACCCACTACTTGTCATATCCCTACAAACACTATCTGGCTGTATCACAGGCTCTGTGTTGATCAAAGCAACGGCAGGAGGGAAAACAATTGAAATGCTGATAGTGATGATGACATTGATGGTTACCATGATATCTCCAAAGTGTTTTGATGCAAGCTGATTAAAAAAACTACCTCTCTGCAGCACAATACAGGGCCATTTTTCATCATGCAACGACAGGTGTAATCATAATTTTTGCTTGCCAGCCCAATCAGTCTTCCCCTTACCATGTATCAGGACCAATCTAGGCTCATTTATTTTAATCGTTTCTTATTTGCTAAATTGACAAAGTCAAAGAAGGACAACAGAAACAAAGATCATTTTAAAAATGAGACAAAGCACAAATTTGCAACTCCATCCATGTTGAAATGTTCCCATTTCTTTGGTTTTCAATACGATTATATTTATTATGTTCTCATAATGATTATACAATATCGTTATACTCAGTGGTCACTATTATTATTATTAATATTATTATTAGTTACACCTGCACACTATATTTCAAATTAATACAATAGCTCAGCCATAATCTCTCCCTTTTAGCTTGTAATGTTCAGTTTTTGGTGACATTGTTGGAAATGTGTACATTCAATTTGATTTTTGTAACTGAGGTAATCACTGAAGGTGGTGCTGTGCTGGACTACATTATATTGAGGGTTTTTTTGTCCTTTCCATTTACATACATGATGGGGGCAGAATATTGGAAACACTTCTGACTATAATTGTACAATGTACTGGGTTGCATTACATTGCACAAGTGTGCCCAGCAAAGTGGGCATTGAATATATCTGAATATTTATTATCATCAAAAACATAAAGCTTTATTTGATATGTTGTAAGACACTGTCTTCATATACTTCACTACAGGTCAAATGCTTTAGAAAAAAACATTTTTTCCAGTTTTTATTGAAATTTAAGCAGTTTAAGTCAAGTAAATATCCTTACATCATACAAAGTGAGCAGTAATGCCCAAGAAAAAAAAATTAGGTCACCATAAATAGATTTTTTTTTCAGAGATGAAGAAATTGGTGATCTTTGAGCTTTCCTGTGCTAATGGAAGTAAATGAAGCCTTGAAATGAATGAAAACTTCCTACAGGTTGAATACTGACAAACTGTCTGTACAAAGACAGTGTTTGAAACTAACTGTGTTACTACACCCACTGATGCATAACAAGAACAATAATGTAGGAAGTAGTTCTGTACATTTCTCTCAAAATGGTGAGAAAAAGACAAGTAACAAAGGAAGGCAGACTGGTTGGTTAGGGTTTCATCATCAGTAGAAGAAAAGAATCACACTCTCATCTGTGGTTATTAGAGTATCTCAGTTATAATTTCTTTCTCATCAGTTTTAGGATACTTTGGGATGATGTGTCAGTCAGCACTCCAATAAAATTTCACACATTTGAGAATCTCTGACAATGAGCAGTGGAGCTGCTCTGGAGGCTTGTGGTGGATTAACACCAATCACCTTATGGAGAAACTTAATGTTACTTTTTGCCTTTAATTTGTCAATTGTTGGTTTTCAATGTGTGGAACACCAATACCACACTCAAGTACAGTTAAGAGATGTTCTTACAATTTATGAGCTCTTTGGTGAGCTAAAAAAAGTTATTGTTTAATCTTTTTTTCATTGTCAGCAATGATGTGAGGTGTAATTGGTTTTAGAAGCAGGTGGTGACACTGTTTAGAGGTAAGCTCTCAGTCCACAGTCTTTCTAAATTCTGATGCTGTACACAAATAGAGAGGAATATGTATACACCAATGCAGTTTTACATTTATAAAATAAGTACCTAAAAATAAATATAAAACCATGCATAAAATCTTTATTTGTATATATTTACTACTCCTTTTTCCATTAATTTATATATTTAATGTAGCTATCCTGTCGCTTCAGCCTTAACTGTCCCCATGGCAACAACATCCTGTCGTCTGGACGTCACTGGTGTGTTTTCCATTGTCCACATAACATGCTGCTATTAGGAGACCTGCTTCGTTCCTTGTAGTAAAACGAACCACAGAGTGAGTGCTGCTTTCACCACTGCAATGTTCCTCTAATATTCAGCACGATGTTGTTACGTTAGATTTGTCGGTGCACCGATTAAACTCCATAATTTCCTATCTCGAACTGCTGCTAATTAGCAGCTAGCCGTATAAGCTAGCCCTGCTATGCTTTGTGACTAGCATTTGGTGTTGCTAATAATGCTAATACTTATTTGTTGTACGTGCAGCTTGGCACGTTTGGGCTGTTATTGACACTCTAACAGGAATCTTACCTTTTCATGCAATTCAAAGACTTATATTTGTGTGAAGAGGACTTAACAATGCTGCAATTTGAAGGGAATGACAACAGCTAATACTAGCCACAATTAGCTAGTTTGCTTGCTAGATAAGAATGTGAGGTGGTAACGCGACTGCAGCAAATGTGATGTTGTTTGACGGTGACGGAATTGGTATGTACACTCAAGCTTGTTAGGTGTGTGTGGTTAACTATTGGTGAAAAGGGCAATACTTTCCTACCAGCATTGTAACATTAGCAGCGTTTTGATAGCCGCAGAAGCGCAGCGGTGCTCTTTGTTTGCTAACAGTTTGCTAATGTTAAACGCAGCGTGAGGGGCATCCAAGTATCTCATTATTGTCCCAGTTTCAGCATAGTTGAAGCTGTTGGGCTACATCCGATTAAACATGTGGTTTAACTTTTTGTTGCTGGCGTTTAACTGGGTCATAGTGGTCTGTGTAAAGGTCCAGAGTCTTACTCGGCAGAGCAGTAGTTACCAGAGTTGGGACTGCTAGTGTTTGGTTATAAAAGAAAATCGTTCAAGTAACAGTATTTTATAATCCACATACAAGTTTCACCAATTTTCCTGCTGCTGAAGATGCTGTGTACCATTTAGGTTACAGCAAGATTTTGACTACAAAGTAACTGAGTTCACAGTAATGTTGAACTTAAATACTAAGAGAATGAGATGCAGAGATCAAAATATGGCTGATGCAATTCCATGCTTTTTCTGTGTAATATGTGGAGTTTCCGTGGTGCTTGTAAATATGCCACTGCTCCTCTACTGGCATCTAACTCATAAACAATACAGTATGTTACTCATGTTCCACTGGCACCTACTACTTCACACTGACATACATGTTTGTTGGTTAATATGGTATTTCACTCCTGTGGGCCTACTTCTCCACCATCATACAGATGGTATGTTGCTCTTGTTTCAAAGTCATATACCAGTTGTTTGTGTTTTGTCGCTTTGACAAATGTTGAGCTGCTGCTTTTCACCTTGCATATTGCACTGAAACAAGAAAGTGCCATTTGTGCTCCAATGACAGTTGCTACTTCAAACCAGCAAATGATGTGTTAAACTTGTAACTTACTTGCGGAGCTCCAGTTGTGACTGTGAGGGACACTATATTTTTGTGGTGGCTAAGCTAGTGGGCGTAGCTGTATCTATAGCTACATGTATGCAAGCCATACATTATCCCTGTATAGTTGTAAAGCAGGCTTAGTCTCCTGGAAAATTTGACTGTTGTTGTTGCCAATGTACCAGTGGGCATTATGTCAAAACATCCAAGTTATTTTTCTTCACATTTAAGGAGTAACACACTATACCAACTTGTATGCTACTAAGAATTGGTTTATGCCACAAGGGTGGTACATATGTGTCAGTAGAACATGAGTAACATGCTGTATTTATGTGCCATATGTCAGTGGAAAAGCAGGGGCATACCACTAAGTGATGTGGACATGTGCGACTAAAGCAAGAGTGACACTCTCTATTGGTGTATGCACATGGAAAGTGACATGTGTTAGTGGAACACAGCAGTGGCATACCATAATCAGAAGTGCATGTCACAGAATGTATTGTATGTCAGTGAGAACGGTTATGGTGAGTAGTAGGGCTGGGCGATATAGAAAAAAATCTTGTCACGATAATGTGTTTCATATCAGTCTATCAATATACAATCACTATTTCTGTCAAGCTTAAAGGTTCCCTTTTAGTCCTAAGTGAGATGTGAAGATATCATAAGGATTAATTTTGGTTTAAATATAATTTTTTTCTGTCAGAAGTTGAACATGACAAACATACTATCGAACATTATACTATCTCAAAAAAAGAAAATAGGTATATATTATAAACCAAAATCTTAACTCTGACCATAAAAAGCTTGGTCTGGGACTGTAAAGTCTTGCATTGTGCGTGCTCAAGAGGATGGCATTGCCTCAGATGGTAAAAAAGATTAGTGGGATTAACTGTCTTTGTGGGAACTTACTTTCGACACAATTTGCAGTGCACACTGCTCTGCTTCTTATTGAACTTTAATTAGCCAAAGTATCTCCACACTACCAAATTCCTCTGACCCTTCTTTTCAATGATGTCCTCGTCTTTTGAGCCTTGGGCTGTGTCTGTTGGGGTTCTTTGGTAATGCTGTTGCTTGAGTTTTTGTTAACATTTTCTGCCGTCATTTTCTCTTTTATCTCTGTCCCACTCCTGACGTACTGGTGGGCATGGCTGTAGTAGCCCAAACGTTGGCACTATTCTCATTATCATTGGCGGTTCGTGTTGTCTGTCAAAACATGGATGAATGAGTTCTATTGATGTTGTATCGACCATGTCGTATATTTCTATTGAGGAAAAGTTATCTTGCAATAATTATCTTTATCGTTTTATCGCCCAGCCCTAGCAGGTGGTAGGTTCCACTAGGTTCTAATGTCAATGAGTGGATGTCTTCATCTTTAAGTATCATTTTGATTACAGGTTTTATATGATACACAATAAAAATATTTCTCTGATGGCCTACTTCGTATAGGTAGTTTTTGGCTGGACCACAACAACGAGGCCAACCTGACAACTGCGAATATCTGTGACTGATGAGTGACTGAGTGATGAAGTTACACCGTTCAGTGGGGTTCAAAAGTCTGAGACCAGTTGTGGTCAGCCAAATGTGCTGTGACTGAGTGATGAATTTACACCATTGGTTGGCTGGCCAGGTGTTGGAGTTTCCCCACTGGCTGTTCCTCTTTCAAAATTAATTGATGTGAAATGTTTGTTACATTAACAGCAGGGCCTTTGCCATTAGGTTTATTAACTTTTCAGACCTCTTTTCAGACTTTTTCAAAAAAGCACCTAGCAACTTTTTGGACAAACAGTAGCTTCTTTCTGTGGAAGAGTGGTCAGGCTTTCCCTCTGCAGTAGTGTTAGTTTTGTCAGCTATTATTAGTTTTAGCCTTAGTCTTAGTCCTGAGATAAAAAGTCAATTTTAGTTATAGTCACATTTAGGCAAAGCAAGGCAAGTTTATTTGTATAGCACATTTCAACAACAAAGCAAGTGCTGTACATAGAGCATAAAAGGCATCAAGACAGAATATAAAAGCAACACAAGTAAAAAGACATTTAAATACAATTAAAAAGTGTTGAATTTGCAAAGAAAAAGAAACTAAAAAGGAATAAGTCAGATATAACAGGAGAATGAAAGTTACAGTGCAGTGTAAAATATTTCCATCAAATTTGGTTTAATAAAAGGCAGTGGTAAACAGAAAAGTCTTCAGCTGTGAAATAAAAGACCTGAGAGTTGCAACAGGCCTGCAGTTTTCTGGGAGTTTGTTCCAGATATGTGGAGCATAAAAACTGAACGCTGCTTCTCCATGTTTAGTTTTTACTCTGGGGACACAAAGCAGACCTGTCCCAGATGACCTGAGAGGTCTAGAGGGTTCATAACGTAGCATCAGATAAGAAATGTAATATTGCCCTAAACCATTCAGTGCTTTATAAACCAACAGCAGTATTTTAAAATCAATTCTTTGACAGACAGGAAGCCAGTGTAAAGATATGATAACTGTAGTTATATGATCCACTTTCTTGGTCTTAGTGAAGACTCAAGCAGCAGTGTTCTGGAACAGCTGCAGCTGTCTGATAAATGCATGGACCAGTTTTTCCAAATCCTGCTGAGATTGCTGATTAAAGTCCTTTAATTCTTGATATATTCTTAAGGTGATAGTAGGCTGACTTTGTAATTTTCTTAATGTGGCTGTTCAAATTCAGGTCTGAGTCCATGACTACACCAAGATTTCTGGCTTGGTTTGTAGTTTTTAACATTATTGATTGAAGCTGACTGCTGACTTTTAATCGTTCTTCCTTGGCTCCAAAAACAATTACTTCAGTTTTGTCTTTGTTGAATTGAAGAGAATTCTGTCACATCCAATCATTGATTTGTTCAATGTACTTACTCAGTGCTTGTATTGGACCATAGTCCCCCTGGTGATATGGTTATGTAAATTTGTGTGTCATCTTCATAACTGTGGTAATGTATTTTTGTTGTTTTCCATAATCTGAGTTAGTGGGAGCATGTAGATGTTGAACAGAAGAGGCCCCAGAATGGAGCCTTGGGGAACTCCACATGTCATATTTGTCCACTCAGATGTGTAATTGCCTATAGACAAAAGTAGTCCCTGTCCTTTAAGTAGGATTCAAACCAGTTCAGTACTGTACCAGAGAGTCCCACCCAGTTTTCCAGAGGGCAGCACTGAGATCCAGTAATACTAATACTGTAATTCTGCCACTGTCAGTGTTAAAGTATATGTCACCGAAGACCTTAACAAGAGCATTCTCAGTGCTGTGGTGTGGTCGAAATCCTGACTGGAAGACATCAAAATGGTTGTTTAGTGCCACAAAGTTGTTCAGCTATTGAAAAACAGCTTTCTCTATGATTTTAGGAGGTTTGATATAGGCCTATAGTTGTTCATTAGTGAAGTGTCTAGATTGTTCTTGTTTAAGAGTGGCTTCATGATGGCAGTTTCGACACTCTCTTTCTTCCATTCTGACCAGTGTGGCATTTCTCCATGGAGATCTTCTCTTACCAGAGACAACCTTCACCTTAGTGGGTGCAATGGCATCAATAACATTTGTAATGTTAGAACTGAAATTATCTACAAGCTCATTGACTGAGACCCATGAGAGGAAGGTGTGGAAGAGAGCCTGAATAAATATTTCACTGGTGTTTTCAGTGATATACCGTTTTGCGATTACTTCTGTTTGAACATTTGTGCGCACAGAGATAGTACTCTCAAAGAAAACACAGGAATGATCAGAGAGAGCAACATCAGTCACCACAACCTTAGAAATGTTCAGACCCTCGGAGATGATTAAATCCAGCGTGTGCCCCTTGTTGTGTGTGTGCTCTGTCACATGCTGAGTCAGTCCATAGTTATCAAGAACATAATACAGTTCTTTAGTCCCTCTGTCCAGGGGGTTGTCAACATGGATGTTAAAATCACCAACAATAATTACACAGTCGGAGTCAATAAAGATTATAGACAGCAGTTCAGCAAAGTCATCAAAAAAAGGTAGCACAGTATTTAGGTAGCCTGTAGATATTAAGAAATATAGTTCGGGAAGAGGAATTCAACTTAAGAGCCACATGTTCAAAAGAATCAAAGTTTCCATAAGACATCTGTTTGCATTGGAGGGAATCATTAAACAAAATGGCAACTCCACCTACTTTCTTATGTACTCTAGCTTCACTCCTAAAAATTAAGTTGGGAAGGGTTGACTCGAAAAGAACAGCTGCACTGTTATCTTGGTCTAACCAAGTTTCAGTTGAAAACATAAAATCAAGGTTGTGCTTGATGATAAAATCATTGACTAAAAATATTTTTACTGACAAAGACCTAACATTTAATAAAGCTAAATTTAATGTGTTAGAATATTATCTAACCAATTTTTTGGGACAAGCTGTGGCTGACGAGGAATGGATGCTAAGTTTGATAAATTTGCAGAACTGGTTGAGTGCTTCCTGTTTCATTTGTAACTGTGACGAATGTGTCGAAACTGGTCGAGGACTTAAAGCCATTGGTGGAGGTGGACAACAAGGGAGGTTTAGGGGAGAGAAAATGTGAGTAGGGCAGGGTGTAAGTTTGGTCCCTGCAGTGACCAGCTCTTCTGGTCAATGAACTCCAAGAAGGGAGAGGAGGTGGAAAGGGTGATTGGAGAGGAAAGTGACCTGGGTGGGGTGAATGGGGGGGGCGGGGCGTTGAAAGGGGTGAATCCTCAAAGGTGGAAGTTGGTGAGGGGGGTGGAGACTCCTCCTCTCGATAGTGATGACACTGAGTCATGTTTAAAGCTCTCTTCAGGCGGGGGCTGAGGTGACTCTTTCAAGGTTTCTGCTGCGTTTTGTTATGTCTTCTTCTTGTTTTGACTCCTCTTGTCTCTTGTCCCTGGCAGAGGGAACTGATGGGTGACACAGGAAGTAAAATAAGTTAGAAATGAACAATTTTACTCCTGCCTTAAAAAGATGTCTGCGGTCCCAGAAAAAGTTGAAATTGTCAATAAAGTGCAGTGAATGGACAATACATGCAGCTGAGAGCCATGTGTTCACTGCCAACAATCTGCTGAATCTTTCAACTCCTTTTCTGACTGGTGGTAGAGGGCCATTGATAAACACCTCAGCATTCAGAGAGCTGACTGTGTTCAACAGATCAATAAATTCTTGTTTCAGCAATTCAGACATAATTGGTCCCTATGTGCAGTATGACGTTTTTCACATTTGGATGTGCATCCATGATATGCAGGATTCTTTCAGACATGTCAGAGACCATGTCCTTAGGAAAGCAGAGTATTTTGGTGTTTTTACTGCACATGCTTCTTAAATCTTTTATAACACAGTCACCCAAAATCAGAGTTTGACGCCCAGGCATTAGCTTTCCCTTTAGCCTTTTACTTTCTGATTTACTCTCAGTCCGTACCCTGCTATGTGAAGGGTCATCAGACGGAGATCCAGGGTCCTGCAGCAGTGGAAACAATCTGTTCTCTAGTTGCACTCTCAGTTGTTGGGGGAAGTTTGTTGTTAGTTCTCCCTTTCGCAGCTGTCAACGGCTGTGTCCTACTAAGAACAGGGGTTGAAGAGGCGCTCTGCCTGAATGATAATGCAAACCAGCCAGTTGTGTGACAAATCTCAGAGCGCGGGGCTCAGCCTGTTACTCGTCCTCCCATTTTCCCGGGGAAATTATTTACTCTTAGGCTTTGCACCAAGAGAGTTCCAGGGGGGACTACCAGTCATAGACTTATTATCCGGTTGACAGCCCTCCTGTTTCTTGTTAGTGTTGGTGGTGCTAATTAGCTGTATGTTAGCATGCTCTTCTCCACTGTTTTGACTCCATGGTAATGTGGCGTCATTCCCACATAGTCAATTCACTTCTAACCGGTGAATTTTGGTTTCCAGCACTGCAATCTTTAGTAGAAGTTTGTGTTAGTCATTCGTGAAGAAGGGAGGCATTTTGCTGCTAATTAGCTTTAGCTAAGTGACACGTTTCCAGTCACTGCATTACAGTCTTGTGCTGCTGGTAGGCCTCACTCACGTAGTACTGAGGATGTCATAAAAATGTTGAAATATAGAAAAATAGCCTACTATATCTACAAAAAATTTGTCCCAGTGTTTATAAGTATCCAGGAGCCACTGCTTATAGTTTATCGCGGAAGAAAAACAAGAATATCGGTAGAAAAAATGCAAGCGGAGGTGAGAGCAAGCAGAAAAGTGTCTGCACTGAGATCAAGTAGATAGCGTTTTCAGCGTATTCAAAGATTTAGTCAATCTTTTTATTTTTAGAGTGAAAACTCTTAAACTCTGCACATTTTAGTCTCATCTTAGTCAAAGAAAAACAAACATTTTAGTCTAGTTTTAGTTGACGAAAACACTTTCTTTCTGAGTGATAATTTCTCAGGTTATATATAATCACAGTATATGTGATGTCTTTTAATTAAAATAATAAAATCAATAGTCTTGATGGTTCGTGTTTCACTTACTATTTCATATTTGTTTTGTTGTCACGACAACAGAAACAGAATAAACATGTCAATGAGAACAGCTTTATTGTGAATTCACCTGTATTAAAATTCTGTATATGTGAGCACAGAGAGGAGAGAAGAGAACAGATAAAGAGCTGAAACCAGCTGATACTAGACTGAAACCAGCTGACATTAGACTGAAACCAGCTGACACTACACTGAAACCAGCTGATGCTAGACTGAAACCAGCTGACACTTGACTGAAACAAGCTGACGCTAGACTGAAACCAGCTGACACTAGACTGAAACCAGCTGACACTAGACTGAAACCAGCTGACACTTGACTGAAACCAGCTGACACTTGACTGAAACCAGCTGATGCTAGACTGAAACAAGCCTACACTAGACTGAAACCAGCTGAGACTAGACTGAAACCAGTTTACTAGATAGGCTAAAAAAAAAAAAAAAGCCTTAAAAAAAGGCCTTTTTATAGTTTTGTACTGCACTACAAAATCCAAATGTGTTATCTTGTTGAAAAAACTTTGTTTTCTCTAATTCTCTTTTGTTAGTGGATCGCAGTCTGAAGCGCCGGCAGGTGAAGCCACTTGCTGCCTCTCTCTTAGATGCCTTGGATTATGACAGCTCAGATGATAGTGACTTTGAAGTGGGAGATGCCTCAGGTAAGGATGGTCTAACTGCCATAAAGTAAGGCAAATTTTACATCCTGTCACAAACTGACTCAATGAATGTGACAATAAGGGAGATCACACAAGGTTATAGAATAAAACAAGCAATTTATTATAACTAAAACATAGGACAAATAAGCAATGAGGTGTGGAAATCAACAAGTTTAGCTATGAAAGCAGTGCATGTATGAGTGGTACATGTGCTGTGGTGGTGGTGTATGTGCAAAAGCAAAACAAATGGATGTCAACAGATTGAAGGGAGAAGACAAGTGAGTACATGGGCCAGCTTTTATACTCTATCAGCTGGTGACTCTCCCATGCCAATCAATTGCCTGCCAGTGTGGGCAAGGACAACCCATAAGACAATGGGAGGGGCATCACGCATCCTTATTAAATGCAATGAAGTTATTGTGTACAATGCGCCTGCAGTGTTTCCCACACATGTAGGTTAATGCCGTGAAGTGGTAGTGCTTGTTTTTTGAAGTGGAAGTGCTAGTTGTAGTTTCCTCTATGCTGCTCACAAAAACAAAAAATGATATACACATATTATATACAGTAAATGAGTGAATAAATAAGTCATAAAAATAAAACAATTTTTCATGGTTGAGTTTGATGTTACAACCCTGTGTCAAATGATAAATAAATGAAACTTGTGACCTTTTTACTTATGTAACATAAACCTTATATTTATATGGTATATATTGTGCATTTTACTCCTTACTATTACCACCTGTAAGACTCCTACACATGATACTTCAGCATAACTGCCATTGACAATTGTTTTGGTTGTTAGTGTGTGACAGCAACAACCAGTCGAATGAGATGTGACACTTGATGTGTGCCAGTCGTTTGGACACTTCTCTATATACAACTTGTGTAGTGACTGTCCAGTCAGAGCTAACATAGATAAATAAGAGATAAGATAAGATATTCCTTTATTAGTCCAACACTGGGGAAATTTGCAGTGCTACAGCAGCAAAGTGGACAGTACAAGAAAGAAAAACTGCAAAATGCCAGTAAGAAATAATTAGAAAGATAAGTAATAGATAATAATAATAATTTAATTAACTTAATGTTACACTTGTGAATTGAGACATAAAACTCACTGTAATATTTTATTCACCACCAACAGCCGTACTATCAAAGACCTTAAAGGGATAGTTCGGGTTTTTGACGTGGGGTTGTGTGAGGTAGTCATGTATAGTTAGTACATTACCTGCAGTAGATTTTAATCAGTGCGCTCCCAGTTAGGAAAGCTGACCGGGAGCATCCATCAGAGTGGTAGAGTGGCAGCGCCATGCTCATGTAGAATATTTTCAGTAATTTATCCTCCCGTGAAACAGCACTTTTCTTTGGCACTGTAGTAGGAGTGCACTGTGTTACGTCGCTTTCTGATTCCCTCGGTTGACCTGCGGCTGTGGTGTAATACAGTGCGCTTCATAGATGTGCTTGTGCGTAAGAATATTGTAGTTCAGTGGGTGAAAACATGTGGTGCCAAAGGAAAGTGCTGTTTTCACGGGAAGATAAACCGCTGATAATATTCTACATGATGCTACATTTAAACAGATATTGGATTGTTTTGGTGGGTGTTTAAAAAGTGTCTAAATAAGTTTTTTTCTGGTGGCCCTGTGCACACCAACACATAGCTCTGCCATTCTGATGGTGCTCCCAATCGGCTTTCCTAACTGGGAGCGTGCTCATTGGAGCTGACAGAGTTGAGCTGCCCTGCCTCTCACTGTCTAGCATTGTGCTGCGCTTTTTTTTTTTTTTACATCTCCTGTCTCTACATCCCAGTGGTGGTTGGTTGGTCATTTTGAGACAAGACTCGGTTTGTAAAGTTTACAGCCTGCAGTGCTGTTGAGTCTGCATTACTCTGTGTACAATAACACAGTTGAAAAAAAAAGCAGCAAGTAGACTGATGGGGTGAGTCGGCTCGGCATCTCCTCGACTGATGCACTAATGCATCAACTTTCAACTTTTAGGAGCCATCCAAAGCGCATCCAATGGAAACTAGTTTATTTATCCCATAACCACTGTTCTCTGATAACGTTAAGAGGATAATACTGAGAGAGTGTTCCCCACTGAAAAACAAATTTTATGGAATAAAAAAAAAAAAAACAATTTTAAGTGCCTGTCCACACCAATGTTAGAGCACCAAGTTGGGGGGGAGTATATCTACAGAAAAATAGATCAAATTCAAATCTCCTCTTTGTTATTACACTTTTGAGCAACTAAGTACATAAGTCAAAACAAACGCCATGGAGATGTGTAGTGATTTCCTTTTCTTTTAACAAAGTTTCCTCAGATGCTGGAGCACCGACCAAGCCTTTTAGAATGACCTGAATGCTCTTTTGATTAAGTTATTATTTTGTGCTCTGATAGGCTCAGATGGCACAGGAAATGGCAGTGATGAAGAAGGGTCTAAAGCGAGCGCTGCTGGTTCAGAAAGTGACTCGGACAACGGTGGTTCTGCAGACGATGGTATAGATGAGGAGGAGGCCAAAGAACTGGCGGCTGAGGACAACTTAACCGAAGATGAAGAGAAGACCAATAAGCAGCCTTCCTCAGACAGCTTGACCAAAGACACCCCGGCTGTCACCCCACTAAAAGGCCGACGCAAGAGCAGGAAAACATCAGAGCCTGAGCCCGCTCCAGCTGCTGATACTGCCTCCACTACCGGATCTGGCAGTGTGAACACTGAAGAGAGTCAGGCCGAGCCCAAGAAATGGAATTTCCGCAGGAACCGTCCCTTGCTGGACTTCACCACGATGGAGGAGCTGAATGAGATGGACGACTATGACAGTGAAGACGATAACGACTGGAGACCCACAGCAGGGAAGAAGAAAGGCAAAGCAGCCGCCCAGAAAGGAGGCACTGAGGAAGAGGAAGGTGGCAGCGCTAGTGACGACGACGATGATGATGATGACGATAATGATGATGATGACGACGATGATGAGGATGATGACAAGGAAGATGGTGATGACAACAACAACAACAGTAGCAGTGATAGTGACAAAGAAGTGAAGAAGCCCATGAAGAAGCCTAAGAGCACCAGTACTTTTGATGAAGAGCTCACTAATGACAGCATGTCACAGGGAAAAGGCAATGAGGTGAGTACAACTTCAGTCTCACAGGTTCAGACTGATGGTCTCACAGATGTTTAATAAAGTAAGATTATCGGTTAAGCCAGCGATCGGGATTTACTCCAAAGCAGATTTAAAGCTGCACTTCTCAGTATTATTTATAAGAACAGGTCAAACTGACTGTATGTAATTTGTTAGGTCACAAACTCACAGAGAATTATCACTCAACTCTGCTCTAAAAGAAGCTTCTTTAGCCTCTTTTAACTTATGGTTTTGATTTGATCGCTGGCACTCAACTCTCATCAGCCTCATTTTCTCTGTCCTCGTTTTTTTCAGTAACAAAAGCTGTCCTCTACCTGCCCAGCATTAAACAGCGGATAGATGCAGTTAGCGACTAGCTGGTGAATGTAGTGGAGCTTCCACATGTTTGAAAAAAAAAACAAAAAAAACCTTACTTTACACTAATTGATTTATTTGATTACTTTGATTAAAGGTGATAAATATATTTATTACATGGGTTGTTGCCTCTTAGTGAAAGTAGCCGTTTACTATTTGCTCTCATTTTAGATGTCAAGAAAACAATGAAACAGCAATTTAGTAGTCAGACTAATAGAAGTAAAAGCTGTTTAGACAACAAATCTGAAGGTATTTCAAAATACACGTGTACATTCATGTTTACACAAATATCAGCATTTATCATTACTCACACTGGACTTGATCCCAAAATGATTCAGATTCAGTTCAGTGACACCACTTCATTTCATTTCATTTCATTTCACACAAATAATAATTCAAAATAGAATACAAAATATACAACTATGATAATAGCAATAGGTGAAAATGGGATACCCCAATAAGCTTGTGACCTTGTGAGTATGCACAAAATACAATTTCAGCCCCAAAAACACCTAAATCCTAATACCTAAAACTCTAAAAAGAATAACTTAAATGGTCCAAAACATCTATCCCATCAGTCCATATATCAATTTAATAGGTGAGATACACAATCAGAAATAAATGGTAGATAAAAAATAACAGCAAGACTCATAATAAAAATAGTAGCTCAGTAGAGTAACCAGTTTTGAAGACCACAGCCTTTTAGTGTACACAAATTAAAAAAAAAAAAAAATTGACAGTGTAATCAAGCTCATTCACACCTGTGGACCTTTGCAAACCACACTAAAACTTTTGCATTTAAGTTTGTTTGTTTCCCTCTAAAAAATGCTTTTTTCTGGTCTTGTATGTCTGTGAGGGAAGTGTAGCGTTAACACCATAATTTAGAATTTACTCTCGTTGAAATGGGGTACAAGTCCTCTGGGAGAAAAACAATGTATTACTTCACTGATAAATTTGTCAGTCTCATATCAGAAGCCATGACTTCTCGATTCAATGGATCTCCAGTCTCTACGTCAAAAGAATACAACAGGACAACAACTGGGTGTAAATAAAGGAGTTTATTAACTAAACTACTATCTACAGAGTAAATGCAAGTTGTAATAATCATAAAGATGAAAATAATGAAATGAGTGGTGTGATGAGTTGGCATTGGTGGGAGAGTATTTAATGGCTATACACTATGGCTATACAGCTAATGATACTACATCTACGAATGAGATTTGATGATTAAATATTACTATATTTCGACATCAACCCAACCATGAGCAGAGTGTTAAGATCGGCCTACTGTGAGTAGTGCTGTATCTGAGGACCCTTGGCTGGAACCCAGGTGGCTGTGGTTGCCATGGTAACCCTGGAGACGCGGGATCTAGGTGGATTCTCCTGGAGGCCGTGTCCCATTATCACTGTGACGGATTCTGCTGGTGTCTCAGCGATTCAGCTCTGGTGGAGTTTGCCAGGAGACTCTCTTTCTCAGGCACTCTTGATTTCTGGTTGGCTTCTCTGCAGGCGGTCGTGCAGAGGCGTTATCTGCCGGCGTCTCTTGTGGGCTGATGTGAAATAAACTCTAATGCTCTTCACTTTGGCTGGATAACTTTAGAGGAGACTGGCGTTGACCAGTTGACTCTAAAGTTGTCAAAAAGCTTTAAAAAGGAAAACTTGATGATGATTAAAAGTTACAAAATTACTCTGAGGCACTTCTGTTGTTTTGGTTCAGTTGGTCTTGACTTGGCTTATAAAAATAAAAGATTGCACATGTAAACAACAAGAATGTTACTTGTAGCACGTGGCAAAGAAATAATAAAGGACGCAGACAAAACGATAAAGTGCAAAAATGGCTAAGAGCTATGGGTTTGTGGCTAGCAGCTTAGAGCTAAGAGTTTCCATAGCTACAGAGCCGGGCTTTGAGCCGGGACTCTGAGCTTTGAGCAAAGTTCTCAGCTTCTAGTTTCTGCATCGCTTTTCGAGCTCTAGCTTTCTGCTTCTAGCATTGTTTCTCTCTGCTAGCTTCTCTTGTCTTAGCATCTACCAAATGTGTGAATTGATCACGACTGTCATATTCCCTGGGGGCTGGCGCACGTTTCAGGGGCGTCACCCATCTTCTCCTGTGTTTCAACTTGGAGAAGAGAGTAATTTTCCATTGAATAGTGTAATTCTAGAGTTTACCTATAAACTCGCACATCCGTCTTCCACCATGACCATAAAGCATTAAATGTAATATATAAATATAAACCTAATGGCACTAATAATGACAGACAGGAATAATACAAGTGTGGATTTCGTATTACATCCCTCAAACCTGGAATTATTCATAGTACCAGTGGTTAACTGATCAAACAACAATATAAACATTTCCTAAAGCTAATAGTCTATAAATGTGGATTAAACAGCAGTTCTTTAACTGTAATAGTAATAATATGGACATTCTGGATGTCATGTAGTGTGTGTTACCTTGTGTGAAGGATGCTGACAGTATGGTCACATGAGACATAAGACAATGTCTACATGTTACATTTCAAAAATTCTATAGGATAGAAGTTTGGGATTGAACTATTACATAGAAACATCTCATGAGTTACAGAACAGTTAGATATTTAAATTTACGTTCTTCCTCAGATCTGTGTCTGTGAAGGGTGTTCTGCTGGTCACTACTCAGGATTAGAATGTGGGTTGTAGTTTATGACTCTTATCTAGAGAGGGACAGAGGAAGGGAGCTTTGGTGTGGTGTTGCGTGCGTGCGTGTTCATGCACAGAGAGGCCAGGATTCACACTTTAGTGATAATCAGTCATTTTGGTGTTATTTGTCCTATGTAAGAAAACAATCAAATATCAATAGACAGAGTCTTATTGTTACAAACTGGGGATTTTGCCTATATTCTCCAGTTGCCTGGTGTCCTTTGCTTGATCCTCTGGAGCTGACCCTTTGACCCTTGGTCTCGTTCTGTGTCTCTCTGGCATGCTAAAAGCATGGACTGTTTGTGAGAGAAGGGTATATATATGTATAAATATATATACATATATATATACATATATATATGTATAAATAAATTATTTTCAAAAAGGAGCACCCACTGGTTGGCTAATTTTGTTCGAGAGATTTTCACCTATGGAGATAAAATGAAACTATCAGCAAGGTCAACATTTTCAAGATCATTGCTGGCATCCTCTAATGTGTTTCCTTTTGGTGTCAGAAGGCACGGTTCTGTGACCCCAGCTGAGGACTTAATTTAGTACCTTCCAGGTTTGCTTTTGATCACCCTGAAAAGCCTGAATAAGTTCAGTCTCATGTCTTCACTTGCTGATTCAAATCACATGTGTGAGCTTGTTTTTGTATTTTGTATTTGATTCTTTGTTTGAATCACTTGTATTGTTGATATAGTGTTTGTAAAGTTTATTCTTTTTGTTGATGGGTTTCAAAATGCCCTTTGCCCCCAAGGTTCCTGATTGGCATCCCCATGTCTAATTAACTTTTCAGGTATGGTGTGTTGAATAGATTCAGAGTCAGAATGAAATAATTCTTATTATTTTTATTTATATAATAGTTGATCCAATTTATTCTTAAAAATGTCAAAGTCAGAGTTTAGGGGTCGATAGATGACTCCAACAATGAAGTTTTTACCATTGTTTACATTTATCTCAATGAATAGAGAATCTGACTGAGAATCTGAGATCATCTTCAATAATGAGGTCATCACAAATATTTGGACAGTGTTTTGAAACAACATATAGACACACTCCACCCCCTGGCCAATTACATCAAACTTATGGCCTATATTGGCCAAAAGAGAAACTAATTCATCATGATGCTTATTCAGAATTCTAGTTTTAAGATGTAGCAGTGAATATGATAAGTATCATAAACAGTCAAGTAGCCAAACTTTGGATGCCTGTGAGCTTACTGGTCTTGTTTACTCTTTCCCATTTAAGATACTGTAGTTGCTTGAATCTTAATGATTATAACTGACCTTTTAAAATAATTTTAATCATGTTCAAGCATATAAACATTTGAGTTTATACTTATTTTGACAAATTTAGGCAACTGAGACATGTTTAGACAAAGCTCTTGTGGACCAGACCTCATGCTAAAAGCTCTTTGAAAGAACTGCAACTCGAACAAGTGCTTGAGTATTGAAGTAAGTCTTCTACCTTGTCCTAGTAATGTAAACCACTAAGTATTTGGACTTCACATTGCAGCACATCTACTTTGTATGGCATTCCATAATACCAAACAACAGTGAGTCACAAAGTCACCATATTTTCCAGTGAGAGGTTTAGATGGTATCTGAGTGATTCCAGGAGAATACTTCTGCTTTTGTTTTAATTCACCTAGCACAGTGTTCATGAGTATTGTATATGGCATTTACTGTCAGTTACTGGATCTGTGGTCTGATCAGAGGCATAGGGTGTTGATAAGTGGCTTTACTGTGTCTCTGTTTCCTGATTCCCCAGGATGCCTTGCTGGATCGATCCCAGACCTGGAGCACTCAGCACATCCTGATCTGCTGCGTCTGTCTGGGAGACAACAGCGAGGACGCAGACGAGATCATCCAGTGTGACAACTGTGGGGTGACTGTGCATGAAGGTAAGCTTCAGAGTTAGTCCAGTATCAGTGTGGTGACATATGTGGAGCTAGGACAGATTCATACTTAAAATCAGTCAGACAACAGTCCGCAGTATTTGTCATGACTGCTTCATTAGGTGGTACTCTTCAGAACAACTGAGAGGATCCCACTTAAAAGTGAAATTTGACCTCAGCCAACCTTTGTGCAAGGGCATCTATGCTATAGAGTCTTACTTTGATCTGAAGTTGGCCTATCAGACAGTACAAATCCCCAGATAAAAGTAATTTAGTACTTAATGCACTGTATTAACTGTGGCTGTACTACTACTACAAGTTAAAAGGTGATTACACAGTTGTTTTTAGTTCAAGCACAGTTTTGACGTAGTGGCAATGGTATACACTGATATTGTTGTCATGCTTTCACACATCTATCAATCACACCACTGACCAATTTTACCCTACAAATGCCCTGCTGTGTGGAAGTGTGAAAGTAGGTTTGAACAAGCTATCTGTTTTTATTATTCACACCAACCTCTTCCGTCATTTTTTGTGTGCTGTGACTCAAAATGTCTTGAACACTTTCTTGTTTGTTGTTCTGGATTACTCATCTGAAGTATCTGATTCACGCATTCTGATCCAGTTTTCTTTGTTGTCCTCTAATCCTGTCCGGCTGTTGAGAATTGTATTTAGGGGCTGGCCTTTATTTGTTTGTGTTGACCAAGCCCCCTTTCCATTATTGGAGACCTGGCTTTTAATTGACTCCTGGTTTTTACTTGAGGAAATATGTTAGTTTGTTTGGCCTTTTTTTTTTTTTTTTTTTTTTTTCTTTGGTTTCTTGGGGCAGTGGCCCACCCCTAAGTGGGACCCTCTGTCCCCTAAAAGCAATGGAAGGGGAAACACTGGGGAGCATTATATTGGCACTTGAACTAGTGATTGAGACTAGCAGCTTCTTCTTTCTCTTTGTCTCTGCTCTGGTGTTTGACTGAGGGCAGACCTCAGCTCCTCCACAGACAGAGCAGATAGCAAGGGAGAGAGGCCATGGAGGAAAACATGACATTGGGTGTGAAGTTAAACATTTTACTTGATTTGACAACAGCTTTGCTGTTACTGTCTGTGCAATAAAACCTCTACAAGCAATAAGGAAAAGAGTAATTTATCAGAACATCCATTAAATAAGTATAAACTTGCAGAAAAAAGCGGTGTTGCGGTCTGTGTTAACCATAAAATGAGAGTTCACCACATATTAAAGTTGAGCAAGTTCATGTAGACTTTCTGGCTGAGATGGCAGCCCCCTCCAAACCAGCCCCTCCTCCCTCCACCTGCAGTGAATCCACATCAGCAGTGAGAATAAGGATGATCTTGTCCTGAAGTTATTCTTTTTTTAAATTACTTTTTAAAAATATTTTTAGTAATAAGAAAGTATAGAGTGTTGATGAGAGCAGTAGAATTGATAAAATCTTAACCACTCATCTCTAGTAAAGCTCAAAGTGCACAAAGCTCAGGTAGCAGTTTCTTGTTTTCTGTTGGTGCTGTTTGTCACTTTCCCCAGTTAAAATAAAAATGGCAGGTCATATCAGTTGTTGTCAACTAATGTTAATTCCATGACTAGCTTGTTACTGGATTCATACTTGTTAAAATGCTATCAAACCCCAACCCTGTTTTCAAAAGCCTCAATTGAATCACTGGACCCTTTGCTGTTTGAAAGGGGATGTATTCATGAAGCAGATTACTACCTGGTCCTGGAAACATGGCTGTTAACAATGCAGGATTTAATATATATTTCAAATGTCTCATTTTGTTGGCATATTGGTTATTGGTCTCCTTGGTTACAAATAATCCAGTCCCTCCAGGATTTTGCTAGCTTTTATTTGGGATTGTTGCAGTTAAAATACCTAAATTTGGGGCAGCTTATTTTAAAAATTGCAATAAATGTTGCAATGTTATTAGATGTCTTTTTTGCAATGAAACTGCAGAGAAAATAAAAATTCTGTTTTTGTATGATTCATTAAGAATCGAAAGCAACTTGTACCAGTGAGAATAAATCCAGTGCAGTGCAGGTGGTGACCCAGTCACACAGTCACAAATCTTATAGGGAAAAAGAACAAGCGATTATGCTGCTCTGCTCCGTCTTAATAACAGGTAGAGATGATCTTTATAATAACCTCATGAATATATTATGTAGATCGTAGTATTGGCATCAATAAAATCTAATCAATTCCCATCCTACATTTAACACACATAAGACAATATCGCACAAACATTTTGCTGATGTAGGCCACCATTACTTTAACTGGCTGAACTGTGAACACCTCTGAGGTGCAAGCAACACTTGTTAGGTTATCTCATACAGTCCAACTTGAACTCTTTTATGACACACACACACACACACACACACACACACACACACACACACACACACACACACACACACAGTAGTGAAGGGTTGGAACAGTCCTAATCACCAATTCTCCATTGGCAGACAGCAGATATTAGGAGCATGTCTTAAATGTATCTTGTTCGTTTGGTTGGTTGATATTTTATTCCTCTGAGACATGTTTAATCTCCCTGAAAAGACATAGAAGGGAGACTGAGTGGTTTACAATGGAGGCTTGAGAGAGAGGAGGCTGTGGCACTTGTGGCCAGTTCTTATTTTCTTCTTCAAAGACATAAATGTTTTTCCTTTTTTCTTTAGCAGGAAATATGGAACTGAATTCTAGCCGTAGGTTTGGCATTCCTTTGTACTTGTGCTCATAATGGATAGATCTGTTGTGCTAATGGAAGTTTACTCTAATAACTCAGCTATCTTTTGTTTCTTTTTTCCCTCACATTTTTACACATCTGACACATTGACACATCATTAATTCTTTAAATCTCTGACATGGAATATTTCCTCCAGTATATCTCAGGGTCCATTAAAAGGCACAAGTTACCCGATATGCCAATACAAACAAGCAAACAACAATGACAAAAAAAGAAAACCATGTTCTCACTACTCTCTTGTGATATCTGGCCATGTATATAGTTATGACTGAATGTCCACACTTGAAGGCAGGGAGAAAAGCCTGCAGTCACATCAGAATCTCACACACCTCATTCAGCAGCTGTGACTGAGCAGTTCCAATAAGATATCAGATACTAGGGCAAGAATATTACTGACATGGATTTGTTTTAGATTCCTTGTCCATCAACTTTACAAACTCTTTTATCCTGTGTATTAGGAGTATATTTCTTGCCCGTTATCATACTGGCTGTTGACCCATATTCCTCCCAGGTCTTAAATTGTGTACTATTAAGTATTGCACTGTCATTTAAGGTGTTGCTAGTGGTAATGAATTCAGGCCTTTCCAGGTGTTTATTTTGAGGAGGGCTGGGTTGGAATTTTGATACCTAGCTATTTGATTGTGGAGAACTGCTGTGCTGAGGCAGGGTGGTTTGCCCTGCCTTTGAGAGTATGTATTTTTCTCCAATAAGCACAATTGTTGATGTGGCCATGTTTTATAAGAAATTGATTTTATTTTAGAATTTCTGGGGCAAGCATCTTTGTCCATGGACTGATATGACAGTGCTTCGGTGAACAGAGGTAAATAATATAGTATGTGTGCTGACATGGGGTGGAGCTTCGCCAATAAAAATAAGTCGTGCATAAACTGGCAACTGATGGTAAACCATTATTTCAAACAAGTATTATTTATTATAAGATGTCCTTTTGTTGGACAGATATCAATTGTACAGATAACATTATTCAAGTATTAGGGTTGTGCCGATGGACGATATCGCCGATTGCTCATGCCTTTGCAAATGTCGAGATGATATTTGGCTTCCAATTAATGTAGCAACTTATTATTTGTAGTATTAAATTAATACTAAATTTTAATTTGCCTGCCACAGTTTATCGTATACAACCACATATAACCGGCACTTGCAACATGCGCACACACACTCTCTGATCAGCTGATTGTAATGAAGCTGCTTGTTGTGTGTAGGAGCTGCTGTGATTTAAGAGTGGAGGAGATGGACAGACAGACAGAACACATCCTTGAGTTCAGTTTCTGATCCTGCTGCTCTTTATGATGGTAAATAGAACTTCTGGAGTCAATGAGGGAGAGAGGCAGCAAAACGGGACACACTTGCTTTTTTGGTCACTTCTCTCTCTCTCTGGTTGATAGGGTAACATAATGTCCCCAGGCGTAGAACTGCTGGAACCACTGGAATGATGCTCGGCTACTTTTTTTCTCTAACTGATGAAATAAAATATCTACAGTTCAAATAATCAAGTTGATGAAAATTTTATGAGTTTTAAGATCCAGTCATCACTAAAGTGTATGTCATGTAGAGAGCTGATAAAAACAAACAAAATTGTCAAAGTTGTCATATTGACATTGAGGGTGTATTGATTGATTTCCAAACATCAATCAACATCAAGTAACACTCAAGAAAACATTCCACCTTAAAAGTGTCTGGTAGCTGTCGGTAGCCTCTGAGGTGCCCAGTGAATTAAATAGTTACATCCTGTCATCAGTTTCATCACTCACTCACTCATGATGAAACTGTTTATAAAGTAGCCGGAAATCATGGGATGGGATGGGGGGTTATTATAAAGATCAGCTTTATGTGTAATTATGACCGAGTTACAAGTTAATAGTAGTTACAAGTTTCTCATACAGCTAACCAAGGGGTGCCAGAAGAAATTCCCATCTCAAATGGATGCAGCATAAAGTCAGTCTCATACTCTATTCCACATAATGGTAACTGCACATTTAAAGAGATATAGTCTGTCATGGACAATATGCTCCTAGTCCAATGTAAGTATCAATGAAACAATCCTTTTGGCTCATCTATCCTTACTCACTAACCAATCTGCCCTGGTAATAGTTAATCAGGAATGACTTCCACCTGCTCTAATTTTTATGGTGCAACCTGTTTTTACTACATGATCATTATCTTTGAATGCAACATAGCTGGTGTAACAACAGTAACCTGTTGAACATTACAAAGGCCAGTGTTTTTAGAGATAGGGAAAG